TATGCACATGTGTATTGATTATCGGCAGTTGAACAAGATTATAGTGAAGAAGTTGAAGATTCGGGATCCAGATATTTCGAAGACTGGCTTCAGGACTCGATATGGTCACTATAAGTTTCTAGTGATGTCATTTGAGCTGACCAATGCCCCAGCAGCATTTGTCACCTGATGAACAGTGTATTCCAGCCATATCTTGACTCATTTGTCATTGTGTTTATTGACAACATCTTGGTGTATTCCCGCAGTCGGGAGGATTATGAGCAGCATTTGAGGATCGTGCTCCAGACCTTGAGAGAGAAGAAGTTATATGCAAAATTCTCAAAGTGTGAATTCTGGTTTGACTCGATGGCGTTTTTGGGTCATATGGTGTCGAGTGAGGGGATCAAGGTAGATCTGAAGAAGATTGAGGCAGCTCAGAGTTGGCCCAGACCGTCTTCAGCTACTGAGATTAAAAGTTTTCTTGGATTGCCCAGATATTACCGTTGTTTCGTAGAGAGTTTCTCATCCATTGTTGCACCTATGACTAGAATGACCCAGAAGGGTGCTCCGTTCAGATGGTTCGAGGAATGTGAGATGAGATTTCAAAAACTCAAGACTTCTTTAACTACAGCCTGGTGTTAGGGTTGCCTACAGGTTCGGGGTCTTACATTATGTATTATGATGCGTTATGTGTTAGTATTGGCTCAGTGTTGATGCAAGACGGTAGGGTGATTGCCTACGCGTCTCGGCAACTGAAGGTTCATGAAAAGAATTACCCGGTGCACGACTTGGAATTAGCAATCATTGTTCATGCATTGAAGATTTGGAGGCATTATCTGTACGGTGTCCCATGCGAGGTCTATATCGACCACCAGAGTCTCCAGCATCTGTTCAAACAGAAAGATCTTAACTTGCGGCAGCGGAGATGGCTAGAGTTGCTTAAAGACTATGAAATCACTATTCTGTATCATCCCGAAAAGGCCAGTGTGGTGGCCAATGCCTTGAGTCGAAAGGCGGAGAGTATGGGTAGTTTGGCATATCTACCAGCAGTAGAGAGGTCACTAGCCATGGATGTTCAGGCCTTGGCCAATAAGTTTGTCAGATTGGATGTTTTGGAGCCCGATCGAGTTCTTGCTTGCGTGGTATCTCGGTCTTCTTTATATGATCACATCAGAGAGAATCACTATGACGATCCCTATTTGCAGCTGGACATAAGGGCTCGAAAGTCGGGATTTAGTCTCATTTCTCACATTTTAGAACCCTAGACTCGGTAGGAGGCAATTTGGAGAGGGAATTTTCATCTAAAAATATTGGGTAAGTGATTCTAATCAATTTCCAACTATATCTCATTAATATATCTTAAATTTAACATCAAATTCATGTGAATCAAAAGTGAAAATTTGTGAAAATATTGCCTAAGTTTTGGAAAATGAGAATTTGAGTTTTGAGAGTCGATTTGGACTCGGATTTGAAAACTAATCACATATATGGACTCGTGGGTTTGGTAGTCGAAATCTACCCTTGGACTCGGGTTTTGACCGGGCGGGCGCACGTTTGACTTTTGTTGACATTTTGGGGAATTTTGTAAAGATCAAAGCTTTATCTATTGTAATTATTTTTCCTTGCATTGGTTGATGATATTAAGTCATTTTTGGTTAGATTTGAGCCGTGTGGAGGCAGATTTTAGGAGAAAAGCTATTTTCGAAGGTTGAGTTGGCCTAGTTGAGTTAAGTATCTTACCTAACTTTGTGTGGGGGAACAACCCCTTAGAAATTGGTTTGTTTGTGCTAATTGTGATATGTGAAAGCTGTGTACGCAAGGTGATGAGTGGGTATACAGGCTATATTTGGTATTTGACCGGTTTAGGCTATTTAGACTCTTTTCATGGCTTTAATTGAATTGTCATGACATGCTATATCTTTCGTTGTTAATATAGCCTTGCATTTGTTAGTCTACCCTTATATGTTTTATTTGACATTGTTAACACTTGTTTCACCTCTTACTTACTAATTTGCTCTTATATGCTTTAGTTGAAGTTATCGCCTTGCTTATTGTCTTGTTGCTTCTTTATTGTTGAATTACTTACTTGAAGTTGTTATTTCATGGAATATCTTCTTGTTGAGTTATTGGTGTTGAAGTTGTAAAAGCAATTATCACATTGAGGCGAAATTGTTAATTATGGAGATATCACTCTTGTTGAGCTATTCACTTTTATTTTGTTATTGTTGAGATTCTTTTACACATTGTGATTGAGCCATGGACTATTTATTGTGAAAACACTGATATTGTTGATTCTTTTAGTAAGTTGTGGCATATGGGCACTTGTGGTGCGAGTTGTGATTATGTTGTGATATTGATAGGCATGCGGTGATATAAGGCTTGGGGTTGATATGCATATTGCTAGTAGGGGAACTACTTGAAGTCACACGGTGTAATAAGGTGGGCTAAAACGCGGGTAGCTATTTCAGAAAAAATAATTTTCAAAATTAAATGTAAGGCCCCCGTGGTTATATAAGGAAATATTGTTATTGAAATTGTGAAATATGAATACGAGGCGGTACCTTGGTTGTGATTCTTTTCAATATATACTCATATTGAAAAGAGTTATTGGTTGAACTATTCTTGTTACTTTTATTCTTCCTTGTATTACTCGTTTTGCCTGTATTTGATTATTTGAGGTTCTCATTAATTGCTTCCTTCTTGTTGTCTTTCTGCTCACAATTCTGTCATTAGTTACGTTATTAAACTACTTTGTTATCATTCGATCCTCCGTTTTTCATTACTTCTCGTTATTATATTCTTGTTCTATTTATTATGTCCTAGTAGGTGTCTTGGCTTGGCCTCGTCACTATTGTACTAAGGTTAGGATTGATACTTATTGGGGTCTTTTTTGTGTAGATCCAGGTACGTCTGCCCGTGCTGGACGTTAGTGATTGTCTTATTAGCTGCTTTCTAGAGACTTCAAGTTATACCGCTCGACATTCGCAGGCCTCGGAGTTACCTTCCATTATCTTTCCATTTTGTTGTTCTCTTATTCAGACAATGTTGTAGTTGACATTCTAGATATTTTGTAGAGTTTAGGACTTAGTTCCACCAGTTTTAGGAAATATGTTGTTGAGGTCCTATTTTAGAAGTTTATATGAGTTTAACTGCTTTACTTTAGTATCTCTGTTTAATCATTTCTGTTAAATTATTATTACATGTTGGGCTTACATAGTCTTAGAGTCTAGGTGCAATCACGACATCCTAAGGAGAGAAATTGAGGTCGTGACAGCTGCCTAGCTATTCCTCTTCGCGAACGTGGAAGCTCACTCACGTTCATGAAGCATAAAGCACACCAGCTGCCAAAACCTCATACGCGAACGCAACGCCCAGGTCGCGAACGCGATGCTCCACTATGCTAAAGCCTACGTGGACGCTTCACCTATCCGCGAACGCGAAGGCTTAAGGCCTGGCGCCCAAGCCGACCTCCCTCTTCTATGCAAACGCGGCCCCACTCTCGCGATCGTGATGCATAGACCCCCTAAACCTTCGTGAACGCGTCGCCTTCTTCGCGAACGCGAAGAACAAAAAACCCCTGCCACAGAATAACATTTAGCGAACGCGATCCCCATGTCGTGATCGCGATGAAGAGTGTACCGGATATCATATCAGCAGTCCAACAAGTCCAAAACGAAGCCGAATTTGATCTGAATCACATCCGAGGCCCTCGAGACCCCATCCAATCATACCAACAGGTCATAAAACATGAATACGAACTTAGTCAAAGACTCAAATCACATCAAACAATATATAGATCACGAATCGCACCCCAATTCAAGCCTAACGAAACTAATGAATTCCAACTTCTAAAACCAATGTTGAAACCTATCAAACCAACTCTGATTGACCATAAATTTTGCACACGAGTCATAATTGACACAACGAACTTGTTTTAACTCTTGGAACCAAAATCTGAACTCGGTATCAACAAAGTCAACTCTCGATCAAACCTACCAACCTTCCAAAACTTTAACTTTCCAACTTTCGTCAATTCAAGTCAAAACGACCTACAGACCTTCAAATCAATATTCAGACATACTCCTAAGTCCAAAATTACCATACGAAACTATCAGAACCATCAAAACTCCATTTCGGAGCCGTCTGCACAAAAATCAACTCCGGTCAACTCTTTCAACTTAAGCTTTCAACCTTGGAATTAAGTGTCAAATTCACTCTGAATCCTGTCCGAACCCAAAACCAACCACCTCGGCAAGTCACATAATCATAAATGTACATAGAAGAAGCGATAAACGGGAGAATGGGACTGCAATACATAAAACAACCGGTCGGATCGTTACAAATTACATTGTTTTTTTCTTTCTTTTTATTTATAATTTATCTTACAAAATATAATACGGAGTACTAATATTTTTATTGGTAAGAAAATTCAAGTTACTAAGATGTTAACCACTTATTTACAATGTGTTACCATGGATCTTAATGTAAAAAATATTATTTACCAATATGAAGATTTGAGTAACTTAATTCAAAGTTCTAAAATATTTCTTTTGTTAAAAAATAAACACTTTTCTTTTTACATTTAGAAGGAGTTTGTATAAACTTTAGTATTGTCTAAGCAAAAATAAAATAGAAAATCCATAATAAAAAAATATTTTTGGGACCTCAAAATTTAGGGGGCCTAAAGCAAAGGCTTTACTGGCCTTCCCTTAAGCCACCCTGAATAAGCCCTTTCCTCTCCAGTTGAGCCTGAGATCACTTTACATTTGACATATTTAAGTGTGTTATTGCAGTTGCTCGGATATGAAGCATCTAACTTATTCTATCATTTGATCCTGTATCTTGCGGTTAGTGATGAAGTCAGTAGGTTATTAAAATGGTTTAGTAGCTGAAAACAGTGTACAATCTATTATAAGAATACTAATAGGGGTAGCTCGGGCTTTGCCCGGGCCCAACGTGAACAATGTTTGCTTTTTTGTTATACATTGTGTTTGACATTTAGTAAATAGTTGGAGCAGAGCTATGGTCAGACGTTTTTGAGGTTCAATGAAAACATGGATGCATGCAGAAAAGGATCTACATGTATTTACAAGAATATACAAAGAGAGTTTGCGAAGTAATTTGACACAAAATGTGAAAGATTACAACTACTGTAGGCTATCAAAAAGCATTCAAGCCATCTTTGTTGCACTTTAAAATCTGATGAAGTATCTGTATGAAGAACAAATTGAGAGTTAATATAACAGAGTAGTTGAAAATATGCAATTTGCACTAAGAGCCGTAAAGAGGTTGAACATACATTTTATTTTCAATTGTTCCAAATGAAGAGGCACTATGAGTGCTTCTTTCTTTACTGAGAAAATATTTAATTTGCCCAGAAAAGTTCAACCGTTTTTAACTTTTTAGACATTGTTTTCATTTTCCACCCAACAAAACTTTTATTATATGTGAGCTTACTGTTTGCACTTGAGGTTGTGTAGTAAGCCCAAACAGAATCTCGTTTGCCTAACTAACTCAGTTGAAAGCTAGTAAGTTTCAATTTCTAACCTTCATTGTTTCTGCAGAGGCCTTGGTGATTGTATGTTGGGTTTGTTGGTTGGCGTTGCATCTTTTATTGATGGGTTGTTATCTGCATCTACAGAAGTGATGGATCATATATTTCTCTTAATTCCCTCGCCAATGGTCGTTGATGTTGAAGATTCTGGCAAGTAGAAGACAGTCTATTTTTTGGGTGTAGGTTAACATGACAAATGTATCAGATGCTTTATCTAGTGTTCTGAGTAGTGATTTCTGTAAATGAATTTTGAACAGTTTGTCCAACAGGTGTTGTCTGATATGCTCAACATGTAACAGTTGTTTCTGCGGCAAAAAGTTTAGACTACACTGAATAAGTAAAGTGAAGATTTTTAATTTATTTTTTGTGAGCTAAAATAATGTTATGGTTGTTAGTATGTACACCTTCACGATGGTAGTTTCATGTATTTGATCTGCTATCAGCGAAAGCATTCTTTCAACAATTTGTCTGACTCTACTGTTGCTACTGTTGCCACTGTTACTCTCCTGTTTGGGAGGTCAACTTCAAATTTACATCTGCGATATTGTATTTGGGCATGTTAATTTAAATAAAATATGGTAAACGATAAAGTTTTTGTTATCAGATGTGTGTAGTGATAGTATATCAATGCTAAAACTTGTTGTTACCTTGGAATCAACATTGTAGTGATAGTAGCTTGTAGTTGATACAGACTAAGTCAACTACCAATGTTTGCATGATCAAGTTTATCTATCAAGTGGCTTCCTTGTTGTCGGCTACTCCAACATTAGTACACCGCAACTGTATACATCACTTTTTATAGTATATATTCAAGATAAAGCAAATGTTGGAGCGCTTTAACCAAATGAACGAATCATCTGTGTGGATGAAACCTGTCAACATTAAGAGGAAATTACAACTTTAGGCAATAATCATTATCAGAATTAGTTAGCCTTTCGAAGCATGAGCTTCCTTCACAGGAACTTCTGTATAAGAAGATTCAGTTTTTTTTCCAAAAAACATTGACACAACTAAAAGGATTTTCTACGTTGCAGAGAAGGGGTCTTCACTAAAGGTTGTGCACATTGGTAATGCATGTGTTTAGGCACCTAAAACTGCTCCAGAAGCAACTGTGACATGATCTCTTATTATTCAAGATAGAAGTGCATAAACTGTTGAACCGACTGATTTGTTATAGTCAATGCTTTACGACGTTGAGTGATTTTTTATTGAAAGTATGCAGTAATATTTATAGGAAAAGGAACTTCAGAAGTAGATATGATGTTGCCTTTTTTCTCATTTTTTTGGACGAAGAATGTTATCTCTCTTTCTCAAGTTCATAACACTCAAATCTTCACATCTAGAATGTTAATTGGTAGTTGTATAGCTCTGCATATTCTCCATGTTACATGAATTACTCAATATGTATAATCATGAATAGCAACTATTAATAGGTCAAGGATGGATTGTGCAGAAAATACTTGATTAAGAATTGGTTTAAGCCTTCCGGCACTTCATACTAAAATCCACCATAAGTAATTACTACTACTTACAGAACCATCATAAGCATACATACTACCCTGAACACATGAAATTAAATAAGAGGGGTAAAATATACAGATATAAAGAAAAGTAGAGAAACATCAATGAATAAAGTCACAAACACAAACGTGCAACAGGATTGAGACAGAGATAAAATATGGGAAGAACTCATAACCAAATAAAACACGAAGAGGACCTATCGAACTAAAGTAACCAAAAACAAACAGCTAACAAGAAAACATAGAGTATGCATGAGGGGAAATAAATCTACTGAAATGAGCAGTAAGTATACTAAATGAAGAACCTAAATACAGTAAAGTCAGATAATTCCTTACAACAGCCAAAATACAGTAAATGCAGAACCTAGATGAACGTGAAAGTGTTTTTGCCTACAGTAAAACTGGAGAAATATGGAAGAAGAATTTCTTAGTAAAGTACCCAGTAAATTTATGCAGGGGCCTTTAGTACATAGTCGATGAATCATTAATCAACAACATTTTCAAAACTAATCGTATATGTGATTATGCTACATGTGCTGGCCCACGGATGTATATATCCAAAGGAATAAAGGAGAATTCTTAGCATTAGAAGCAACCTATATGTGACCCTTAAACCTGTTAAAAAAAGAACTTTTTGTGCTTTTGATGCAGCATTCATATTTAGCTTCTGCAATCTGGAGCTTAGCCTTCATTTTATCCAAGTTCAAAAGAAACTAGCGAACGATAATAAAAGACTTTCAAGTGATAGTTATAGTTGAGACAAATCTCCTACTTTCAACGTGAAACATATTTATCAGAAATCAATAGTGCTGAAATCCCAGTTTTCCAGTGCCAGACGAAGCAAAAACCACTATCTGTACTCCTCAGCTTAATTTCTCTACTCCAAACGTTAAACCCACGGAACAACAAAAAAAACTTAACCAATTCTTAATAACAAAAATTCACTCAAAACAGTTTACACGCAAATTATATAAACCAATTATTAATAACAAAATCAAACACATCGGAGAACCAAAAAGGATGAAATCGATATGATACGGACCGAACTCTGCTGAAACCTATTAAAGCCAAATAACCAAATCAACATAACAGAAAACTTGAAGAAGCAGAACAAATTACAGAGACCACACGCAAGAACCTTAAAATCTATCACTGCTCTGTGCACCGTTTACCCAAAATCAAAATTACCCAAAGTCAAAATTATCATATTATTCTTCGCCCAAGCGAAGCAAGAGATTAAATCCAAAAACAATAATAGAAATCGAATAGAAAATCTGATTCATTGAAGAATTTTTCTCAAACACATATAGGGCCCATATTCTCAGGGAAATACACAAAAGTTGGGGTAGAGGAAGCGAAAATCCAGGTAAAACACAACTACTTGATAACTGTTTCGGCGAAGCACATAAACTGAGCCGCAAGAGAGAAGTTAGGAAGAGATTAAGGGAAATAGAAGAGGAATTCGGTGGCTTTGGGCTTCACAGTTCATACAGCGGCAGCTGTACCTTTGCTAAAACGTGGCAGAGATTGGAAAATCAGATATAGCACGTGTCCAGAAAGTCAAAAATGCTATTTCCAAAATACCCTTACTACCCCAAGCTCCTCTCCTTAGCCGCTTCTATAATAGTAGTAAAATATACCTTTTCAACTTTAAGAGGAACACCCTAATTAACAAACACAAATTGCTCCTCCACTGTATATGACCCTTCAATTTTGTTACTCAAATATCTCTCCGAGCAATTCTACACTTCTTTTGTTAATATCACCATCTCTTAACATTGGTGTTATTATAAAGTGCAACATAGGATAATCTAGGCCACCAAGTATATCTTTCACAAATAAAACTGAAGCATCAACGTACGTCGTGTAAAAATTATAATGAGACCGTAGGTCATACGTGAAAAACAAGAAGAATAACAAAACTTAGGATGCTTATCTCCGGGACAAAAGGTAGTACAAACTTTATACAGGAATTCTAATCATTTCTACAAGTGCAATCACTTAATATCATACACATTATGAACTACATCCATTCCATGTTACGGACACTGTTGGTGTAATATGAAATAAATGAGCCAACACTATATTATCTTACTAACTTATCCAAACACTGGGCAGTTCCAGCTATTATGATGAGTAGGAAAGGAATTACAGGTAATATAGTTTGATTTCACATCAACAAAATAATTGGAACCTGGAAAATAAATGTATTGTTTATCCGGAAAATCGGATAAAGTTAAATTTGAGTATGATTCTAAAGATATGTGATATAATTTGATACAAACCGTATAGAGAAATAGTAATATCTATGTTCTTGACTATGAGAATGAGAATAGTGAGCAAGAAGAATGAATAAGATAAAACAAAACGAGCACAAGGGTATATCTTTCAATATGAGAAGTGATCTTTGTTACAGTGTGTGAGACTGCCTTATGCTTACAAGGATTCCCCCTTTTATAGTAGAGGGATCCTACTTTATTCACAATAAAAAAATATATAGTGGAGAACCCATGATGAATTGTCTATTCCTCGATTCCCTCCAAGATTCTCTCCCTTAGTGCGGTTGTAACGGTTCTTGTCTGTGAGCTCGATATTGGCTCAAACTCGTTATTGGGTCGAGCCCTCGGCTTTGGCTTGAGTTAGACTTTCGGGGTGGGTGTAGCGCATTTCCGACCACCCTCACGTTGCCTTGCAGATCGATTTGGGCATGGGCTCGATAATAGTATCGAGTTGAATCCCCGATCAGTCTTTGGAACTTGAGGCTCGTTTGTACTGTCTTCGGGACTCATCCCAAAATCCCACTCCGGTTGCTTACCATTCGGACTCGATCGAACGTAGGAAGGCCAAAATTTATTTCGACCGTATACAGATAGTCCCCTCGTTTCTCAGGAAGGATGTGGTGAGAATCGATATGCTTTTCGACGGTTCGATCGGGTTATAAGCTGACGTTTTCACAGGGCTCGATCATGACGTATGTGATAGTTGTCCCATCGATTTAGTCTTTCAAGGTATTTAATGCATGTCAGACGGTGGTCGGCCACCGCTGATACTGAACCGCCATGATGTAAGCCTATAAATAACCCCTCAATCTAACATTTACCACTTTTACGTCTTCACTCTTCCAAATTTTCTTACCCTCTCTCTCTATTTCGCTGCTTGCAAAGCTATCTACACCAGCATTTGGTATCATCAACTTTTCATCTTCCTTTGCCTTTCTTTCTCTCATATCAATGGCCAAAACTTCGAAAACTATACCTCAGAAGGAGAAAGCTTCTTCTTCACGGCGGTCCGACGACAAGACGCTGGTGGAGCCGCTTACCTATGAGTATGTTCCCGGCCCGTGTATTCTGAAGATCGATTTAAGGTTGAGAATCCTTCATCTATTCCGGGTCGATGTGAGCATGTGTCGATGTACATGTACTCGATAACAGAGGGTCATCTCGAGGCTGTGAGGAAAGACTGCAACTGGGGTTCCGAGGTTGTGTTGCAAATTCCCTCTCCCGAAGAGAGTGTCATCACTCATGTGGAGGGATTTTTAAATATTTACACTTATCCCTTCACGTTGGGTCCCGTCGATCCGGTGATCATTGATTTTTGCAAAAGATATCAGGTCACCCTTGGTCAAATTCATCCTTCTCTATGGCGTATAGTAACCTTACTTTGCTTCTTCTCCAACAAGGCCGGGGGGATGGATTTTTTCCTGAATCACCGCATATGATTGTATCGGCCTCAAATCTTTCGAGGACTAATCAGGCTTCATCGTCGGGCATCGAAGGCTTTGATGTCGAGCATCGACGAAGACAAGGACCGGGGTTGGATGGGCCANAAGGCTTTGATGTCGAGCATCGACGAAGACAAGGACCGGGGTTGGATGTGCCGTTATATCCGGGTGAGGACCCGTGACCTCATTCCGGAAGAGAAGATGTCGTTCCCCGAGGAATGGAATTTCAACCGTAAGTGGTTTTCATAAGACGTTGCTTTTCGTATCTTTTTCTAATTTTATCTGATGTCTTTCTCCGATATACAGCTGTCCCTTGGATGCCACAAGCGGTACCCGACCTCGACGATTGGGTTCGAAAGTTAGCCTCGACTTCCTCTTATGCCGAACATGCTTGGCATGATTTGGCAAAAGGTAGATGGGAGGCCAAGAATCATGGTAAGGGTCACTTCTCGTGTTCTTCAAAATGTTTTTTATGCTCCATTTGTTACCGATTTCCTTTCATGTAGGTGTAACCAATGATGCCGTTTTGAGGCCTTCGAGTGATGAGGAAGGATCCAAGTCCCCGTTCCCGGAACCGGAGAAAGATAAGAAGCGAAAAGCTATCTCTCGGTCAGAGGACCCCAAGCCCAAAACTCAAAGGGTGAGGTGGAAGGCAATCGCTCTTTCGATGGACTCGGTCCAACGACTNAAGAAGAAGAAGAAGAAGAAGAAGAAGAAGAAGAAGAAGAAGAAGAAGAAGAAGAAGAAGAAGAAGAAGAAGAAGAAGAAGAAGAAGATGATGATGATGATGATGATGCCTCGTCTTTGGTGATCCGATCTGCGAAAGCTATCGAGGTCGCCAGACCTTCTGAGCCAATGGCAGATGTACCGGTCGGGGTCGGTTCTGGTACCCCGAGTCTCGATCAGAGCATCCCGAGCGATTCGCTTGGGACTATGACAGTGGGTCAT